ATAGAGAGAGACGAGAGAAAGATAGAGGGAGAGAGATAAAGAGGGAGAGAGAAAGAGAGAAAGAGAGAGAAAGAGGGAGAGAGGGAGAAAGAGGGAGAAAGAGAGAGAGAGGGGGGGATGGGGGAGGGTGACGAGATAGAGAAAGACAAGGGAGAGAATGAGGGAGACAGAGAGTAATAGAATTGACTCATTCTTGCATTGGTTGTCGGTTATTTTTCTAACAACTGTAGTAATTTTTCTCCCAACCACAAAAAAATGTTTTACGAAAATGTGTTATGACCATGCCGATAAAGCATTGTGTTTATCCCAGATACACATTCGGACAGCCAGTTAAGGGTATGGTGGAGCTTCACTTGGGACCTAACCAGGGCCCAGACTTCTGTGGGAAACCCCTCAAAACAACACAAGTGGCTTTTGAGGTGAGAATCATGGAGGTTAAAGGCATTGAAGTATTCTGTCCGTATACAAATATTATGTTTGTCTGTAGTTAGGTCTGTAACTTCAACCTTGCAGAGTCCTTTTGTGGGTCTTTCGGTTACACGAAATTAGTTATCTTTTACTCTGTGTTATTTGGAAATATATTTGCTTGCGACTCAATACGTAACTTTAATTCTAACAAAAACCAATTTAATGCTTGAAGAACAGCCTGGGCTTCGCACACTGAGATTTTCTACTTCATGTGTCTGTATTTTGGGTGTTACGTTAATTCTTTTCGCATTTGGTACGTAGTGTCTGTGAGAACATGGATTAGTAGATTTCTCACACTTCGTACATCATCATCATCATCATCATCATCTTCATCATCATCATCATCATCATCATCATCATCATCATCATCATCATCATCATCATCATCATCAATAGTAGATTTCATTGTACACATAGTGTAAAACCAAGAAGAGGCATAAACTGAAAGACTTTGATATCGGTATTCAACATCTCCAAGAAAAGATAAGTCAGTTCAAATAAAGTATAAGCCTCCCCCCTCCTCTTCACCACCACCCCCGATCAAGTCTTCACACCCCCTGACGATCATTTTCTACTGATTCATCTTCCTCTAAAAACATAGAGACACCCTAAAAGTAACCCCCTCAGCGACCCCCGACTTTGCGCTTTTTTTTGGGGGGGGGGGAGGGGAGGGGGGCGATAATGATTGTAGCTAGTTGTTTTATTTTGTTTTCCTCCCTGCCCAGATCGACGGCGAGGCAAAGTTCCGAGTACCCACCAGTGACATCCAGAGAGCTGTGTCCCTGTATAACGGGGTGGATGTCAGAGTCACTGCATTGGTCAAAGAAGCCGCAACAGGTAAGTGATATGAGTAATTGTAAGTGCTTTACACACGTTTCGACATACAATTTAGATTAGTGCTTTTGCTGGCTTTTTATTTGTTTGTTTTTTGTTGTTTTTTTCTTTCTTTTTTAAAAGTTTTTTTCAGGGGGAGGTGTGGTGTTTTGTTTTTCGTTTGGTATAGTTTTTGCTTGTCTTTTGGGTTTTTTTTGGTTTTTTATTCATTCATTCATTCTTTCATTTATTTATTTATTTTCATTTCTGGGGGGGGGGAGTGGGGAGAGAGAGAGAGAGAGAGAGAGAGAGAGAGAGAGAGAGAGAGAGAGAGAGATATGCTTACATTCTGCTTTCCAGGGAAAATCCGGTGTAAATAGGAGACAGCCACACAGTGGACAGACGGAGATACTCAATGAAGCTATAACTTCCGCTCTCGGGAACCGAACTTTTGTCTTCTACATGCTATGACAAAGAGCCTATCCGCTACACCACAAACTGCTGTCCTAAAATGTTGACGTTATTGAGAAGGCGATAATCTTGGGCTCCCTCTGACGTTCTCACTATGTGACGACATGTTGCCCATCTAACAGGCTCACTCTGAAGTCATGTTGACCCTCTGACAGGCTCACTCTGAAGTCATGTTGACCCTCTGACAGGCTCACTCTGAAGTCATGTTGCCCATCTAACAGGCTCACTCTGAAGTCATGTTGCCCATCTAACAGGCTCACTCTGAAGTCATGTTGCCCATCTAACAGGCTCACTCTGAAGTCATGTTGCCCATCTAACAGGCTCACTCTGAAGTCATGTTGACCCTCTGAAGTTCTCAATTCATGAGTGACCTCATGTTCTCCCTCGAAAAGGCTTATTCTATGACGTCATGTTCTCCCTTTAAAAGGCTTCATCTATGACGTCATGTTGACCCTCTGAAGTTCTCACTGTGTTTTGACCTCCTCCCCCCCCACCCTCCCCAGGTGTCCGTCTCAATGGCAGCAGCGTCATCAAGTATCACAGCAACGAGTTCAAGATCGAGTTCCTGGAAAACACTCCCAGTGTGTTCAAACCTGGTCTCCCCTACAAAGCCTTCGTGAGTATTGAGTGTTAGTTGTTTTTTTACGCCATCAACTACACAATTTAGGTTAGACCTAGTGCTCGCCAACGTGGGCGATATCACCCACTACTGTGGGCGATTTGTTAATGTTGATGGGCGGTGGGGATCACACGGGGACTGGGTGACAGGTATTATTTAATTCTCTACTTGGAAGTACAAGCATGTAGGTGTGCGGTACGATAATGTTACCCTATCCGTACACCTGAGGTCATTTTGTACCCCCGCGGTGGTATTTTTCCCTTTTTATCATACTTCTTGAGCGAATTTTTTTTTTGAAACTTTCAGTATTTCTAAAAAATAAAAAAACACATTTTGACAGACTGCTATGCAAAGGGTACCGATTGGATTAACAAGTAAATTTCCTCTTTTGGAATGTGGGGGCACTGAGTTCCCCACGTCTTATGGATACAATAATAAAAACACGTCGTAGGATAAGGTTAAAGGTGGCAAAAGTTGGCTTTAGTTAAGAAAAGATTGACAAGCACTGCTTTTGATAACGTTTTGGGAGACCGGATCTTTGCACCCTGTTGTATGGACCAACTCGGCCTTAATGGAATATGATATCTCGGGAGATAGACGGAGATGCTCTATGAGATCATTTCCCAAAGTGGGAATTGAACTCTAACTCATATCTTCGGCGTGCAAAGGCGAACATTTTAATTATTCGTAATAATAAAAGCTGGCTTCATAATTGCTGCCAACTCATCTTTTTGTGTGTACCATGTGAGACTCCATATTTTGAAGACTTTCTGGCAAGCATTCGAAACTTTATAATTACAGAGTTTTCGTGCATATAATTAAAAAACAGTCCAAACTCCAAAGTAAAAACAAACAAATGGAAGGCCCCTTACCTATCTTTTATTTTACAAAGTCGTTTTAAACTGGATTCTTTTTTTTTGGTGAGGCATAATTTAAGTCAACTTCAATGTAATGTCAGTAAATTGTAGAGCAAAGGGGTGGAAAGAGAAATAAATGAAAATGAGAGGGAGGGAGAGAGGGAGAGAGAGAGAGAGAGAGAGAGAGAGAGGGGGGGAGAGAGAGGGGGGGAAGAGAGGGAGGGAGAGAGAGAATGAGAGAGATGAGGAGGGAGGAGGGAAGGAGTGAAAGGCTCACTATTTGAATGATGGTCTTTGCATTATTGTCAAGTTCATGGAGCACTAAGTTACTAAAAATGCGTTGTATATTATGATTCGTTGTTATATTATTATTATTATTATTAAGAATATATTTATTTATTTATTTATTTATTTGTTTGTTTATTTATTTATTTATTTATGTATTTATTTATTTATTTATTCATATAACCAGAAAACATTTAAAATCCCTCCAACCCTCTATCCCATCCTTCCAGCTCCGCGCCAGCTCCCCTGACAACCTCCCTCCCCCCGGCGAGAACAACGTGGTCTCCGTGTACACATCGGTCAGCTACAGACTCAAGGTCAAGGACCAGGACCTCTACGACACCAACGTCTTCACAGGCACCTACCCGCTGCCCGGACAGAACCTGACCCTGCCTGCTAATGGCGTCATCGCGGTGGATGTAGAGATTCCCAACAACGCCACCAGCATCACCATGAAGGTATTGATTATAAAAGTAATCAACGTACATGTGAAGATTTAAAAGTAACTATTTCAAATGTAATAAATGTGTACGTGTAATGAGTTTACAGTAATGATTGCTAACTTAATGAATATACATGTGATGGTTTAAAAGTGATGATTGCAAATATTAATTATAATGGTTGTACATGATGCAATGATTTAAAAGTAATAATTGCTGATATAACGGTTGTACTTGTAATGAATTGAAGTTATGATTGCAAATAATTGTACGGCCTCCCTCAACCCAATTTAGATTCTTCAACCCTGCCTGCCAGAGTCTGAGAAAATGTATTACCTCAGAAAGAAGACGGAGATATTTGTTTCATAGACTTTTGCGTGCAACGCAGAAATCAAGATCATGTCTTCTACGTGTAGTGGTGTATAGTCTAACCGTTACATTGTTTATCACTGGTGCCAGCACGAAGGTATCAAGGTGTATTTCGTCAGGAGGTTTAAGGAGGGGGGGGTGAGATCAGCTGTTTTCATTTGACAGGCGTCAATAGAGTGCAAGACAGACACAGACATGGTCTTTTGTTGTTGGGGTTTTTTTTCTTGTCAGATGTTTCTTGGCGAAAGAAAGGTTTTGGTCGTAAAGTAAGATAACGTGTGCTGAAAGTGAATTGAGAGAAATGTTTGACAAGAAAAGTTTATTCCCACAGGCGACTTTCAAAGACCAGACGGCCAGAAGAGTGGTAGAGAAGACTTACTCTAAGAGCAAAACCTACATGCAGCTCACAGCACTAGAAAAGAACATCAAGGTAACAGCTTAGAAGTTTTGTTAGTTAACTATTCTCATACCAATTCAGGGATACATGCCCTGCTTGCGCTGATCTACCATGTTACTGTGTCGATTAAATATTCCTGTTCTTGGTTTGTTTTGTTTCTTCCTTCTCTAAGCTTTTGAAACGTGTTAATGCTCCCTGGCATTTTTCCCTGGCTGTGTCATCTATGTTACAGTTCTTCATGTGGCGTTTGAGGATGTCCTTACCATAAAACACTACAGAGGAAGCCAAGAGAATAAATGAATAATTAATCGACGATCCCATATTAAAGTTAACGATAGTTATCAATTCAATTCTTTAACTCATTTGAATAAAGTTAGTCAGTTCACAGGTTGCCCCAAGTTGTGTGACAGACCATTGTGACGTCACAATGTTCTTTTTGTGTCTGACAGGCCAAATCAAAGGCCAGTTTCAACCTGAGAGCCACAGAGCCACTGGGCCGTGTGACGTACGAGGTGAGTGACACAAGGCAATAGAGACATCATTTATAACCTGGAGTCTGGGCCAGCTTCTGCTGCTTTCTTTTTGTCTTTTTGTCTTCTTTTTGCTTTTTTTGTTTTTGCTTTTTGTTTTGTTTTTGTTAGCGTGTTTCCTCTGTTTGGGATGTCTTCTTTTTAGTCGTTTATTCTGTTAAAATCAAGGATTTTTTCTAGGAAGGGGTGAGGGTGGATGCGGTTGTTGTTTTAGTTTCTTGGGGGATTTTGGTTGTTTTATTGGTTTTGTTAGTTTTTTAGGGTTTTTTTCTCTTTTTTTTTAATTGACGGGGGGCTGCGTCCCAGCAATAAAAGGAAAAAGACACTGATTAATTTTGAAATATTTTCCCTCTGTGGAGATCGAACCCACGTTTTTTTTCTTGCTTTCTTTATTTCTTCTACTTTTTAAAAGAAATGATGGTTCAACGATTTAAACGTTTAACAATTTGACGGTATGACACTTTGACACTTTGACATCGGACATTTTGACAGTTCGTACCTTCACCACACAGCTAAGGCCGTCACGCCACCCGTGCTCATAGAACTGAACTGACCTTACTATTTACTGGTGACACCTCAAACCAGCCAGACTCAGTGACATCACTCTATGTCCCTCCTGCACCCCCCCCCCTCCACGCTCAGGTTCTGTCCCGCGGCAGTGTCGCCTTCTCCGGCTCTCTCAACGGCAAGGGCCAAACGTCCGTGAACTTTGAACTTGACGTGACCCCAGCTATGGCGCCCACGGGACATCTCCTGGCGTACTACAACCGTGGTAACAAAGAGGTCGTTGCTGACAGTCTGGCCTTCAGTGTCGATGGAATCTTCCAGAACGAGGTCAGTGGACTGTTTGAACACAGAAATTCATATTCTCCATTATTTAAAGACATTTTGTCTTTGTTTTTACCACCGCCCCCCCCCCAATTCATTTTAGTTTTAGTAAGGTTTTACGGCGCTCGCAACTGCATAAGGTCATATGAGCGCCAAGGGGTGGATGTCA